GAGAGAGAGAGAGAGAGAGAGAGAGAGAGAGAGAGAGAGAGAGAGAGTGTTTCTGTGTGTCTGTTCTATGGCAGTCTATATTACCATCTCTGGTTTCCAGTACTTGGCCTCTGGGTCATTGGTGAGTGTGTGTTCTTGTCCATTCTATGGGGTCCATATTATCAGTATACTGCAAGGAGGAAACTTAACATCATTCCAGGTTAATGCACGGGTATCTATTGTAGGGCTAAGCATCATATACCCAGACCATTTATCACCTCATCTTTGATCTTTTCTCCCAGTATTCCTTATTTAGGAAGGTGAAATCTCTGCCCATGCTTATCAAACCTAAGTTCTTTGATGCATCTAGATAACGGTCAAAGTTGTGGTCATTTCTGCCTCCTACATAGAAAGGTCTTTCTGCTTCTGTTCATGGACTAACCCACAGCACCATCACCTTACCTGGGACATTGTTCCCTTGGTTTTCTTCTTGAATGTCTCCTTCAGCACTCATCAGCTAGGTCTTTTGGAAAATGGAATGTTGAAGTAAAACCTGTATTTTCACAGTGAACTTTGGAATATTTATTTGGAGTTTATACTGTAAAGTTATAAGCACATCCTGTTACTCTTTGCCTATTCTGGTTATATTGATTTAAACCCATAGTTATTTAGTGCTGCAGCACTTGGGTTTCCTTCATGTCCTCTTGAGTTACTGCTTTTTCTTCTTTATGAGGTCAGAGTTAAGTTACAGAGTTAGTATTCTCAAAGGCGTGATGCTGATTATTGAGACAAAATGAAATGATGATGCCCTGAAGTCTACACTGAGCAAACGGAAAGCTTCCTTAAAGAAGAAATCAGGGCACAAAAGAATCGGAGCTAATTCTTGACCAAGAGAAAATGCATTTTAAAAGTGTCTGATAGGAGAAGCTGTTGAGAAAATGGTGGAGAGCTGGTAAAGATCAGGTGTAAACAAGACAAGGTAAGCAAGGGCTAGTTCATCTGGTGTCTTAGACCCACATGTGTTGGATGTTGCCATAACTGTTGAGTTGGCATATATGGTTGGAGCCAAGGAATGAGATTCTTGGGGTTTTAAATTTTCCATAGTAAGTAATACAGTGGATAATTGAAGTCTTGGTAGAATGATTGTCCTGGTCATTTAGGAAAGAAAATACTGGTTAGAATGGTACTGGAAAAAGTGATCTAGAATAATTGATGGTATTTGATTATTGTGGATTATGGGGAAGGAGGGAGATGCAGTCAGGGGGTTGCTTTTTATAAAGGTTATGGCACTCATCAGTAGGAAGGACTGGACCAGAAGTTGTACAGAATGGATGTTTGTGAAGAGAAGAGTGTATATAGAAAAAGATTCAGAGCTGGGTGGGCAATGAGGAGCTCCAAAGTTTAAAATAAGAAATTATAATTATTTAGTTTTAGAAAGCAGTTGGAATGGGTCACTGGAGGGTATTATGCATTCCTGTCCAAGTTCTTTTTTTTTAATTTTTTTAACTTTATTTTATGTGCATTGGTATGAAGGTGTCAGATCCCCCAGAACTGGATTTTCAGACAGTTGTGAGCTGCCATGTGGGTGCTGGGAATTGAACCCAGGTCCTCGGGAACAGCAGTCAGTGCTCTTAACCGCTGAGCCATCTCTCCAGCCCCTCCTGTCCAAGTTCTTAAAGGTGGTGGTTCAAAAGGTGTTGAAGTATCTATGAAGGATTTAGTAGAGAGAAATAGTAGATATTGAATTGTAAGATTTTGATTTTGGTAATTTATGCCAATGGCAGTGTTATTCGCCAAGCTAATGTAGAAGTAAAGTTGAAGGGTCAGTGTTGAATTTGAGCTTCTCCTGTAGGTCAAGGTGAAGAGCTACCTTGTTCGTACCTCAGTTCTGGGTTTAAAATACCTTTAAGGGAAACATTGTCTTTCATCATTTGGGCATTTAATGTATTTTGTTAGAATTGAGGAACAACTATAAGAAAAAGTTTGAGCATTTACCATTTTTAACACTAAGTAGAGATCTCTAGTGGTAGTGGCTGACAGACATGTCATACATGTATGTAGAAAATCAAAGGTGGTCAAGCGGCTAGGCCTGTGGAACACCAACTCTTTGTTGACAGAAGAAAGTGAACCAATAGAGTCTTGGCAAGGAAGAGCCAAGGGAGACCCAGAAGGATCAGAGAAAGGTGTGTGGCTATACCAAATGACATTGGGAGGTCCACTAATGAGAGCCGAATCTTACGATTTTTGTTAGTCATTTTAATTTAGAGAATAAATGTTTTTCTAATTGGTTTAGTGAATAATGATTGTCTGCCAACTAAAAGGGTAAAAGTTGGGGTGGTGGATGGAACCTGTTTGCACGAACAAAGTTTAAATTGTTAGAATTATAACAAACAGAATATAGATGGACTTAAGAAGTAGACTTGTTAAACTCATTGTTGGAATAGAAGGAAACATTCTCAGCAAAAGAA